TTTACTAAAGGTAATACAGAAACGGCTGCACTGACAGAGAACTTCCAGAGGTTCAAGCTGGATTCAGAAGAGGCCGTGGAACGAGGGATATCATTGTTGATGTCCAATGGATCTTGGCTGAAAGCAGAGAATACCAGAAAGATGCTTACCTGTGCTTTATTGACTACACAATGCCTTTCGGTTGTGTGGATCATGGCAAGCTATGGACAACATTGCAAAGTATGAGTATTCCGGAACACTTAATTGTGCTTATGAATAATCTATACCTGGCTCAAGAGGCAGGTGAACAGAACATGGGAACACTGAATGGTTTAAAATTAAGAAAGGTATGCGACAAGGTTGTGATATTTTACCATACTTATTCAACCTATATGCTGAGCAAATAATCTGAGAAGTTGGGTTCTATGAAGAAAAATGTGGCATCAGGATTGGAGGAAGACTCATTAACAACCTGCGATATGCAGATGATACAACCTTGCTTGCTGAAAGTGAAGAAGACTTAAAACATTTACTGATGAAGATCAAAGAGCACAGCCTTCGATATGGATTACATCTCAATGTCAAGAAAACAAAAATCCTCACCACTGGACCAATAAACGACATTCTTATCAATGGAGAAAAGATTGAAGTTGTCAAGGACTTCATTCTTCTTGGATCAACTATCAACACTCAAGGAAGCAAAAGTCAAGAAATCAAAAGATGTATTGCATTAGGCAAATTTGCTGCACAAAACCTTTTTACCTTGAGGACTAAAGTGCACCTGACCCAAGCCATGGTATTTTCAATAACCTCATATACATGTGAAAGCTGAACAGTGAATAAGGAAGAAGATAGAAGAATTGATCCTTTTGAGTTATGGTGTTGGAGGAGAGTATTTAAAGAGCCATAGGCTGCCAAAAGAACCAATAGATCCATTTTGTAAGAAGTGCAGCCAAAGTGCTCCTTGGAGGCCAAGATAGCCAAACTTTGTCTTTCATACTTTGGACATATTGTCAGGAGGGACCAGTCTCTGGAGAAGGATAGGTGGAGGGTCAGAGAACAAGAGATGGATTGGCCAAGTGGCAACATCGATGGACTCAAGTGTGGCAACAGTAGTGAGGTTGGCCCAGGATCGGGCAGTGTTTTGTTCTGCTGTGAATAGGGTCGCTATGAGTCGGTACCAACTCGATGGCACCTAACAGCAACAACAACAATGGCTAATAATTGTGAACATATTGTCATATGTTAGTTGACAGCTTTCATTTATTATTTAAAATTTATGTTCAGAGGAACAAATTGTTGCCTTGTCAGTATGCTTAATGAGTTTTATTTTCTTTAGCATCATTATGAACTCAAAGGTTTTAAAATATTTAAAATGTTTCAATTGTTTAAAGTTGTTCTTTCTGATGTTTATCTTTTAACTAGTAGTTGTTGTTAAAGTGCTGTCCAGTAGGTTCCAACTAATAGCAGCCCTTTATAGGGTTTCCAAGAAGCAGTTGGATTTGAACCGCTGATCTTGTGATTAGTCCAGTGCCTACACTATAGTACCATACCATGACTTTTTAACTAGTGGCAGCCCCTTTAAACTTTTAACTAATGGTAGGTTCTCCTTTTTGACTCCTGTGCCCTTTTGATTTAATTCCATTATCTTTGACAAAGTTAGATTCTACCATGAAGATAATTAAGCTTAAACTTTCCTTTCCTTGCATGAGTTTCTTCAAACGTTTGGAACCAAGGTCTTAGCAATTGGTCAGATGATTTTATAAATTTTGCAAAAGTAAGGTATTTAAGAGAAGGAGAGCTCACTTAATAGAAACTTTGTTAAGTGCCATCAAGTTGGTTCTGACTCATAATGACCATGTATAGGGTTCCTGAGAAACAGCTGGTGGGTTTCAACTGCTGACCTTGTGGTTTGCAGTCCAGTGCTGATCCTATAGCGCCACACCAGAAGTCATTATAAAATCTGAATATTTCTCTAGCCTTTGACACATTATTCAGGCATACCAAAATTTTAGCCTCATACTTTTCCTAACCCAATTATGTTATTAATCATTTCTTCACGGAAATTGGTTCTTTTTTGAGGGAAATGGGATTTGGATCCCTCAGTTTGGATGCTGAGGTTGCGTATTACTAATCTATTGCATTGTTTTTAGGTCTTTTCTGTGTCTTGAGTTGTAAAGTGCATATTTAAATAAAAATCATGATGTTTGTCACATAAGATTGTAGTATATTTACATTATTTCTTTGGTTTTTACCTGTATGTCTCTTTTATCTGAAAATCTTCAATGTTATACCATTGGTAGCATCTTGCAAAATTATAGTATAATATCACTCCTGGTGCGTGAGGATCAGCACGGGACTGCAAACCACAGGGTCATTTTAAGTCAGAACCAACTTAACAGCAACACCATCACAACAAGGACATTAACATTAATGCAGCATATCAATGCATAACCAAAAGGATTTCTTATCTTGGATTTTTAAAGTTTTACCCAATTTCCTTCCATCCCTATTCTATCCATGACCACGAATCTGTTCTTCATGTCTATGATTTTGTAATTTCAAGACAGTGTTCTTTTGTGATTGGCTAATTTAACTCAACATAATACCCTCCAGCTCCATCCATGTTGTGAGGTGTTTCTCAGATTCTTCGTTATTCTTCAGCATTTTGTTGTAATCCATTGTGTGTCTTTACCAAAATTTGCATAATTATTCTTCTGTTGATGGGCATTTTGGCAGTCTTCATCTTTTTGATGTATCTGTTATGGACAGCATATTGAAGCATTCTCTCTTTTTTTTTTTCTTTCTGTCCATTCTGCTATCTTTGTCTCTTGACTGATGTAGCTTAATCCTTTTACATTCAGTGTAATTATCAATAGGTATTAATTACTTGCTGTCATTTTGCTGGCTTTTTTTGTGTGGTACTGATGGTGTTTTTGTTCCACATAATTTTCTGCACTGAGTTCATTTTGGTTGTGGATTTTCTTTTCAGTTTCATTTTTGTTGTGTTAATGTTTATTAAATCTCTCTGATTTTCTTCTTTTTTAAATTTAGAATGTGTCAGTGTATTTATTTTCTTTGAGGTTACCATCTAATTTGTTATATTTTCCCCTATTTAAAACATTTGATTTTATCTTGATACCTACCTGAATTCCTTTCAGTTTGGAAGTTTGATGTTTACAATAGTCCCTCTTTTTGCTTTGCAGTTCTTTATTATACATTGATACCTCTGGTTACCTGTTGTCAGTCTTGTAGATTTGTTTTACTTTAAATACAAAATGTGTCAAAAATTACCTGCACTATGGCTGTAGAATTTATCTTAATCAAATGTTAGAACAGACAAATACATTATTTTTTGACGTAATCTCCTTGCTTTTCAATACACTTTGTCAACAAGCTTTTGTATTCCCGTATTTAAAAATATTTTCGGCTGAGCTGAGAGCCACAAATGTACTGCTGTCTTCGTTCTTTCATCAGAGGTGGGTCTTGGTCCTTGGAGGGCTACTTTCAGAGGACCAAACAGGTGAAAGTCTGATAGAGCAAGATCAGGACTATAGGGAGGATGCTTTAACACCTCAAGAGGAAGTTTTTGTAGAATGTCAACATTGTGTAGTTGTTGTTGAGTACCATGGAGTCGGTTCCAACTCATAGTGACCCTGCACAGGGTTTCCGAGGCTGTAAGTCTTTACAGGAGCAGAACACTTCATCTTTCTCCTGCAGAACCGCTGGTAGTTTTGAATTGCTGACCTTGAGGTTGGTAGCCCGACTCGTAACCACTATGCTACTAGAGCTCCTTGTAGGCAGAGGTATATGGATGTGTGCGTTGTCATGCAAAATCACAAAGCCCTTAGATAACAATCCTCTGCATTTAATTTGAAGCTTAGGCTTCAGCTCCTCAGTGAGCATCTCACTGTAATGAGCACTGTTGCTTGTTGAACCTTTTTCCTAATAGTGTTCCAATTCTGGCCCTTGATAATCCCATACAACTATAAGCATCAATAACTTCAGTCATCTTCTTACTTACCTGTATTTTGTTCTCTAATATTAAGTTACAGTTACTTTAGCCATGTTTGTTTTTTTTTTCTGATGTATTTTCATGCATCAGACTGCAAAGTCATTTGAACTGCAGGGTTAGTGGTTCAAACTCACCAACTGTTCCTTGGAAACCCTATACAGGGTCGCTATGGGTTGGAATCGACTTAATGACACTTAACAACAACAACATAGGTATTCTTTCCATTTTATTGAGTTTTTCTTATAATATCATTGTATTGTGTTAGAGTCTTTCTCTGTAACTCCTGGTTATTTTCTATATATTTTTTGTACATTTTGTAATATTAATATATTACCTATTAAACTATGTTGTTATTATTGTTAAGTGTTGTCAATAGCAACCCTATAAACATTTTCCGAGGAGCAGCTGGTTGAGTTTGAACTGCTGACCTTGAGGTTCAAACTCACCTTGCGGACTGGTGCTTATCCTACCCCAGGACTTCTATTAAACCATTATTGTTGATAAGTGGTTGTTGAGTCAGTTCCAACTCATAGCAACCTTGTATAGAGTTTCCAAGGAGTGGTTGGTGAGCTTGAACCACCAACCTTGTGGTTTAAACCAACCTTGCAGTCTAGCACATTAACCTGTAGTGCTATACCAAGTTGTTCTAAATTAGGTACTCTCTTCTTAAGCACTATGTTGTACTTGGAATAGTGGTCTGTCTAGGTCAGCTGCTACTTGGTACCATGCTTGCCTCACAGTTTAGCAATCTCAATTGTAATAATATCTCTATTGTAACCTAAGGTCTTTTGCCCAGTATATAGCTGTTTTGCTGGACATCTATAATAGTAGGATAAATGCTATTTGTACATGCATTGAGCAGTTTTTAAGACGGTATATTTTTAGTCCCCATTCTAATAAAGTAACTTATTTATTATATAGAATGAATAGTGCTTCTTGGTGCTGGAATGTTATTTGTGTTAATTAGGTAGACCTGATCTACTGCTGCCGTTTCTTTTTGTTTTAGTTTAAATGGAAACCACCCTTGGGAACTGGATGCCTGTGTAGCTGTTCTGTCACATCAGTGAATTGCAATGAGTGGGGGAGGAGAGCAGCCGGATATCCTCAGTGTTGGAATCCTGGTCAAAGAAAGATGGAAAGTGGTGAGTATATGTCATTGTGTGTGTATATTTGTGTACATACATATGGGGAATAATTTTTGGTATT